GCTTATGAAAATAAGTAGGCTTCACTAAGATTGTGATCTACTAATGCAAGAGAAGAAATGTGACTGGAAAAATAGCTTTTCAGAACCATCTAACCCAAACAGGTTGATTAATCTGGAATTTTTGAAGAAAAAGAGGCCAAAAACAGCACAAGTATATTTAATGATAAAAACATGAAAGCCAAAATAATCTACTATACAACCTTCAATTACCTTACTTGTAGTTTGTTTTGTTTTTCATGTTTTTGTTTGCTTTTTTTTATATATTTTTTTAATATTATATGAAATTACATATATTGTTATCCAAATTGTCCGATTTAAAAATCGCATTTTACAATTTTAGTAAAAGTTCATATTATTTTTAAACAGCCTGTTTAATTTACTTTTTTTTTTTTTCAAACAACATGCTGTATTAAATAATTAGAAATACAAAATATAAATATATTTTCATTAAATATAAGTTTCGCCCCCATCTTCTCCTTTCCCCCTATGGATCCGGCCCTGGTATGGTGTTGGTCTTGTTTTTGTATTGACTTGTTAATTTTGGCTGAATTTAAGGGGATTGTCTTGTAACATATTCTAATGATTGTAAAAAATTTTAATTTTTTTCAAAGTTTTTAAATCTAATTTTTTTTATTTCTTAGGTCCCAATCGGAAATGAGTTGCGTTACAAAGAATTTCCTCGATTGTTGCCAAAAACCTATCAAGTAATTGGAAAAAATCTTAATATAAATGCCTGTGACTTAGTTTTGCATGGTTTAGGGTGGCTTTCTGTTGCATCTGTATTCAATACAAAAGTTGAGTTGACTTTGCATACTCCAAATGGCATTGGCCAAGAGCTACGAGAAAAACCGTTATTGCCTTACTCTGTTAGATCAAAAGGTTTTGTAGTATTACTGTTAAATATAAATAGTTTATATAAATATAAATAATATTTATAAATATAAATAATATTTATAAATATAAATAATATTTATAAATATAAATAATATTTATAAATATAAATAATTTATATTAATATATACTAATTCGTTTATATAAATTTAAATAATTTTTTTTATAAGATATATAAATAGGGGAGTGTTGCATAAGTTGAGCATGTTAACCAGTTTCCTAAGATAAGCTGTTTTTAATTTAAAAAAAAAATCGAAATAACAAAAAAATAATCCCAAAAAAATTAATTAAAATTGTTTCTTTAAGGACTATACAATGTAAAAAGTAATTATCTCAACTATAAAAAAAACAATAATAAATCTTTCCTAAAAAAAATCTCTAAAAAAAGTTTACGATACTATTTTTTAAAAAAAACTTTCGCTCTTGAAACACTAAAATAAATCTCCGTGGAGAATTACTTTAAAAAAACGTGCTTTTCTTAATAAAAAGCCACATCTCATTTTGAGCGTCTAAAAACATATCATCTTAAGCAACTTCACCGAGTACTATCATAATTTAAATAGCATGACAACAGCTTTTGTATTATCTCATATAACCCATGGAATTAGCAGTAGATAAGCATAAAATATTAAGGATATAATAAATTTTTGATAATCTTGTTTCGTTCTGACAAAATTACAAAATATTGAATAATAAAAAATTAAAACAGGGATGAATCTATACAACCAAGAAATTAAGAAAAATAACACCGTCGAACTTGTATGAATATACTTAACCAAAATAATTTGCAAAAAAATCTGTGGTCTACCCGTAAATAAGGTTATACCATCTTAGGAACCTATTCATCTTATGCAACCTTCCCCTATTATCAAATAAAGTAATAAGGTAAGTAATAAAATCTTTTTAAAATTTTTCATAACATAACAATGTTTAGAATTTTTTTTTATTATTTCCTGCCATTTTGTCAAACAGATCTGAAATTATACTTATCAAAAAAAAAATTATTTCATAGAGACATAATGTTTTTTTAATTTTGTTTTTATCAATAAAAACATGGAGTCTTTTAATGTCAGTATCGTTAATAGTACTTTGGGTTTCATCAAAGTTATTAATGATGTCTTTTTCAGAGTAAATGCAAGTAAATGTGGAAGTTTTGATTAATGTATATTTTTTACACTCGAATTTTTATCTTTAAATCATAACAGTAATATAAAATTTGTATTGGTAATTTCAGAGTAAAATTTCATAAAACAAGTGCGTTTTGGGATTAAATTTTTCTTAATTACAATATTTTCTGTGTTTTAGAAGGGCGTGGCCAAATGTATCGTGGTCATTTTAATCGACGATTATATGGTCACACTCGCAAACGAAATCCAGAGTTTGTGCAAGTTTTTCATGAGCAAAATCAATCTGTGTATGCTTGGAATAAAAAAATTGAAGAGAAATTTGTACGCGAGCGTGCTCTTATCAAAGAAGAAAAACGTCTTAAACAACTAGAGGAAGGCGTGGTCCTCGGAAAATGGAAGACTTTAACGGAGAAAGAGGAAAAGTTTAAAATTGAGTCTAGGGAAAAACAGCTGCCTTCTTAAATATAATTATTTTTTGCTGATTTGTTGCTTTTTTTTTAATTTATCGTTAGATGTAGAAAAAATTGACTTTAAAACTATGTCATTTTTTGCTGTGATGTCGATATTCATTATGAGAGTGAGGTAAAGAAGTATAAAGCGCTGGCCAACAGTGAGCAACAGTAGTAATTTTTTAAATAAATCTTAATAAAATAAATAAAACACTAAAACAACTCACTTGAAACATTCTAGGCTAATGTCATCGATGTGGTAGTGCCTAAATGGGGTTCATGATCCTCTTCGGCAGAGCAATAAAGTTCGAGTAATATCCATTGATAAACTTTTTTTCACTGATAGACGAAACATCGGCGGAATTACGTTAAAAAAGTCTTGGTTAAATTTTTGATTAAAAGTTATCATCTGCAACATTTAAAAAGCGTTTTAAATGTGGTTCTATACTCACAAAATCAAAATTTTAAAAATGCATTCATTTTTTATGATTTTTAATATTTAAAGTACAGTAAAAAAAAAAATTATAATTTTTTTTTTGGGTATTTTGGGTCCATGGACTCTTAATATGGACTGCTGCGATAAACGAATAATGATATGATCACGAAATTTTAACAGCTTTTAAATATCAGATTATTACACTCAACCTGCTAAATAATTTAACATATTGTACAAGCTTTTGTATGGTTTAAGGCCTAAAAAATAGCCCCAAAAAGGCTTATAACCTTTTTTTGGGAACCAGTTAACTAACATGAATTATTTTGGTAAGGTGAATGCACATATATATAATAAAAAATTCCTGAAAATTTCAACACTGACAATCCCGAGATATCTCAACACAAATAAGACATTTATCTTAGCGTGCAAGAAACTTACATTTTGAGTAAAACAATATTTGGATTTTTAATGAAAAAATTTAAAAGTACATATGTAAAAATCAGAAAATTATTGCAAAACAATATCTTAAGCATTATCGAAAAAACAGGAAAAAAAGAAAATTTTATTATTTATAAAACATTTACTCTAAACAAGTTTTTATGTTTAATTTAATTTTACTTGCTTACTTACGATATCTAATTACCAATTTACTGCACCTTAATCTTAATTAAAGAATTTTTTGAAGGAGTCCCTTATATTTTTTACAGTGTCTGACCAGTTATTTTCGTATTATTTATAACAGCTCAACCATTTACACTTAGCTCTTAATTTTTTACACTAATACACTCTAACGATTTGTACTTGGTGCAAATCTCTCTTATCTGGTTTCAAATTTATGAGCAATTTTTATGCAAATATTTCTTGGGGTAATATTGATAAAAATAAACCTAAACTCTTTATCGGCAACAGATTATTTTCTTCCTTTATAAATTTCAAGGATCATTTTGATTATTCCAAGATATTAAAGATTCTTTTTTAATAAACTATTTGTTTTTTGTAAATATAAATATAAAACCAACTCATCACTTGTTTCTTTTTTTAATTTGTACTTGCCAAGATTCAAGTTTATTTTTGGAATTTTTTATTTTATTTTGTAAAACTATTTTTATAAAACTATAGTTTTAAATGTCACTTTTTTCCAGACTTCAATTTTTTTAAATAAAACCTTTAAAAAATCGTTTATTTAACTGAATATTTACATAATTTTAAACACTTGTAAATTTTGATTCTTTATTTATTCTTATACAAATGCTTTTGAAAAGATATTGAATCTCAAATGTTTTTAAAGATTCTCAGTGGGCACTCAACGTCGATCCAACGTTTGATTTTTGCTGGGTTATGTTGGGCGACATCAACTAACTAAATCTAACGTTGTAATAACGTTGATTACATTTACGTTATTTTTATCAGAGTTACAACGTTATAATAAAGTTGGTAAAACTAACATTAAAAAATATCGTTATTACACCTGATAAAAAAATAACGTTATTGTAGATAACGTTTTAATTCAGTTAAAAATTAACGTTAGTATCATCAACAACAATGTTCTAATAGCGTTGGCTACACTAACGTAATTTTTTATCAGATTTACAACGTTATAATAGGTTTACTATAGTATACAAAAATTGTAATATTTATAACTTTTTTTTTTCATGATTATTTCATTTTTTTTAACGGAGGCTCGTCTCTAATTTGACTATGTAAATACTATGTGATTAAAATGCATACATATATTTCTTCTTGAACTATCAAATTTTTTGAATATCTAATTTTTGAAAAATAAGTAAAATATTAAAGTATAATTAAGGGGTTTAACATTCCAGCAAAACAAAGTGAACTTTAATACAAATTTTTTTTTTAAATATTTATTAGTATATATTAGTAAATATTACATTATATTCATTAGCTTGTATTAATAAATATTTCCTTTATGAAAGCGATTGTGTAGCTTAGAGGGTTGTGCGTCGAACTATAAGTTTATGATCGAGGGTTGGAGTCCCGACTTTTACTAAAACTAAACGTTGATTTTACATCGAAATCACAAAGTTGGAAAATCTAACTTTGGAAAAGCTAACTTTATTCATCCTTTTCATTTTCAACGTTAATCCATCCTTAATAACAAAAAGGTTTTTCGAAAGTGTCATGTCATGCTCTACATAAATAAAGCAAACTTAAATACATCTCGTGCTGGATATAAATAAAGCAAACTTAAATATACGTCATGCTAAATAAAGCAAATTTATATTAAAGTTTTAAAAAGATTTTAACTTTATTACAAAATTTAAGCGTTTTTTATTAATTTATCACAAAGTTTCTTTTTGTAATTTGTATATACTTGTTTTTATAAATAACTTATATTACAAATAAGGATTCTTTATGTTTATTTTTAAGTTTTAGTATACACAAGGAAATTAAATTTTTTTCTATTTAGATATGAAGTATAAAATGTAATTTTCGTTTAGTTGATAAATATTTAAGGACTTAATTTTTTAAGCAGTATCTTAAAGGGCGTTAAACGCCTTTTTTAAATGTATTGCGCGAGCTGCCTATTTCTAATAACGATTAAGTTTTTGGTTTAAGTTTTGTATTGTGAGTGCTACTCTATGCGGTATTTTCCAGTAAGCACAGTTCGTTTTTAAAACATTTAAAAAACGAAAATATCCGTTTTAATAAGTTTTAAACGTTTTAAAAACGTCCTGTGTTTACTGGGTTGTATTATTGATCAGGAAATCGCCATTTATAAATTATATGCTTCATATCGTCGGTATACAAGGGAAATGCACTCAGTCCATTTTTGTTATTATGGAGTTATTTATACCACTATTTAGTATTTCAAATTCTATAAAAAATAATTTAATTAATGAGTTATTTAGTTTTTTCAATTATTACACAAAAACTTATTATTTTAACTATTATGCAAAAAACTTATTTTATATCTCAAAATGATTTTTTGGGCTTGACGCTTTTCCGTTGTAAACCGACGATATATTAGTTTTCAAACTCATGCCCTGGACATAGACCAACTGTAGATTATTCTTATTGTAAACTTCAAGGTAGCTCAGCTTTCACATCTATAAAAAGGGAAAAATGTAATTAAATGTATTTTGTCTCTGATTTCATTTCTCTAATTGGATTTGTCTTTGTAAATGGGTTTTGTCTAAATAAAATAAGGAGTTGTTTTCAAATATTTCAAATATTTTCAAAAATATTTTGAAAATATTTTGAAATTATTCTTTGCTTTTATACATAATATTTTGTTTGCATATATCACTGTATACAATGGTCCACTGTATCAAAAGCATTTGATACAGTGGACCATTGTATTCTCTTAGATAAATTAAGACATTACGGAATAATTAACAAAACTTATTATTTGATTAAAAGCTTACAAACAGAAAACAATAGTAAATAATGCCCAATCTGGAGTGTTAAATGTCATATGTGGAGTTCCGCAAGGATTGATTCTTGGTCCACTTCTTTTTTTGATATATATAAATGACTTCTGCAATGCATCCTTAAAACTTAATTCAGTCAAGTTTGCAGATGACACGAATTTATTTCTTACCAACAACGATATCAAATTATATGCGGACATGAATATCGAACTAAATAAAGTAAATAACTGGTTTAAGGCTAACAAACTCTCACTTAATGCCGAGAAAACAAACTATATACTTTTTCATAAAAAAACACAAGAAAATCTTCCTCTCAAGTTGCCGAACCTATTTATAAATGATAAATTAATTAAAAAGCAACCCAATATAAGATTCTTGGGAATCGTTGTTGATGAAAAATTATCCTGGCTTCCTCATTTAATATATATCCAGTCAAAAATTACCAAAATCATAGGTTTAATGTATCGAGTTCGCTTGTACATCAATACAAATAGTCTTAAATTAATCTAATTTGGGCTAATTCACAGCCTCATCAGCTCATATGCACCACCTCATGCAAACATTTCATGGGCAAGCACTCAAACAGCAAAGCTTAAGAAACTTTATAGTTTTCAGAAACATGCCTGTAGAATCATTTACTTTAAAAATAGGCGAGAACGCGCTAATCCCTTGATGAAAGATATGAAAATGATGAATGTATTTGAAATAAATATCTACCAACATTTAATTTTCATGTATCGTTACAATCACAATATCTCTCCTATAAGCTTTAATAAGTTTGAGTTAAATAAAAATGATAACTATAATCCTAGAGCGAATATGTTGAACACATATAAACTGCTTAGGATAATAAAAAAATATTCAGAATACAGCATTTTATATCGAGGTCCAAAAGTATGGAATATTTTTCAAAAAGGGTTCAAAGGTACGGTGAGTTCGTTAAGTTCAATCAAGTTTTTAACAAAAAAAGAAATCTTTAAAACCTGTGAAACATTTTTTGTTAATAATGCTTTGGATAAATTCTTTTAAATACGTATTTGTTTTGTTTCTACTTTTGTTTGTTGCTTGACAAATTTTTATTAGCAGATTACGCATTTTGTTATGATATTTTATTGAAATTTTTATTTTGTATGTCATATTACGATATTTTAATTAAATCTTGAAAAGATTGCGTTCTGTCATCCTCATCTTCTTTGAGCCCC